TAGTTATATATATAGATGTCATTGTTGTATTGTAGTTTAAAGGCTAGCACTATTGACAGCATAATGCTTTTGTTATGGTAAGCGTCGTGGTAGCTATTTTATATAACGGTACGGCTAATCAACAAGTTCCTGTTGAACTGAGTACCCATACGCTTTTAATTTACACTGGAGGGGGGGGGGGAGGGAGGAGAGGGGGGAGGGGGGCTCCAACATCACGACGACGTACAGCAATTGAAAACGAAAATAGAAATTGAGGATGACACAAAAATTAACCGTTTCTCTTGTCTACGATTTGAAAAAAAAGAGATAAAGAACAAAAAAGAAAGGCTGCGTATTCCCGATGGAATTTCTTTTTAATCAAATTGTCTCGGCTAGATAAGGGGAGAGAATTTAAATCCAATACAAGGGTTATCTCCCCCTTCCCCACTTCTTCCTTTTAAGTGTCTTATTATGCTATTCTGCCTTAGTTGCATGTATGTTGTTCAGTAGTTGATACCAGTAGGAATGAGGCGGGTAATCGCTGGCACTCTAGCGACCTGACGACACAGTTTTTACATTGTTGATTGCTCGTTGAGTGCCGATAGCGTACAGCCAAAACATGGCCGCCATTAGAACAAGGAGGAGGCGTGGGATGGGGGGGGGGGCTGATAGATCGATAGCTATTTCCTCAAATTAACGGCGAGCTGGTGGGGACAGACAGAGGAGGTGGGGGTTGGGGGGGGGGGGGGGTACCTACGATAAAATAAACAGTACTAGCGATATCAGGGAGATTTCGTCACAGCATGCCAGAGGAAGCCGTGTTTTTAGCATTCACGTAATTGTTTTCATGGGTTGAACATTGCGTGGTGGCGTTCGTTGTAAACACTTGTTCAGTACACAGTTCTATCTTTATGATATTTAGTGACTGTTTACTTTATGTCTTTTACAATATGTAATTGAATTTAAAGAGATTGTGTTAAGTGACTTGTGTTGAAGAAAAAACTATAGCAAATGAAATATGAATCAGACTTAATATAAACGGTGGTAGATGCACAAAATAAATTTCAATTCTTAATAACATTTTGTTCACGTTATTGGTAGATGTGAGAATCATTTTTGTAAGTGGTAACAAAAACGTCAAACTCTGTTTGATTAGCTGAATGTACTTGCCTTTCTGTTCATTATATCAGCACATTTTCTTGATTTTTTGACATCTGTATTTTTGGTCCACAAAAATATCTGCATTTTTTGGCCTCTTAATATTTTTCTTAAATTCTTTTGTAGTTTGGTCGCCATAATTATTAGGAGTTATCGGTCTTTGGCCATTATGTTACCAACATTGCATTGATTTATTGGCCTTTGTATTTTTCGTCACCACCACGACCTTGATATATTGGTGGCCTCTATTCTTTGTGTCACCGCCATGACCTTGATATATTGGCCTCTATTCTTTGTGTCACCACCATGACCTTGATATATTGGCCTCTATTCTTTGTGTCACCACCATGACCTTGATATATTGGCCTCTATTCTTTGTGTCACCACCATGACCTTGATATATTGACCTCTATTCTTTGTGTCACCGCCATGACCTTGATATATTGGCCTCTATTCTTTGTGTCACCGCCATGACCTTGATATATTGGCCTCTATTCTTTGTGTCACCGCCATGACCTTGATATATTGGCCTCTATTCTTTGTGTCACCACCATGACCTTGATATATCAGCCTGGCACCCGTACAGACCATGTCATTAAAACACTCCATTAACGGAAGCCTCGACCTCACGGCTTGACCGGCCCATCCTTCACAACATGAGCAGTAAGGAAATGTCTCTTTTATACGACCCTGCCTTTCCTCAAGTTGAGCAGTAAGGAAATGTCCCTTCAGTACCGGCCGGCACCATCTCCGTGTATTCAAATAGCTTGGTCTAACCGCATTCAAACTGTATAGTCATGTCTTCTGTTCCTACTGTGACATAGTTGGAACAGAAACAATACATCATGAGGTACTTTACTTATAGTACTGGACGATGTCTCCATTATATAGCTGGTAAGTAGGTCACCAACCAGTTCTATCGCTCATGCAGAATTTATTGAGCCGTAGAACTGGTTGGTGACCTACTTACCAGCCCTATTGCCGATGTGGACCGGAGGCCACGAGGTTAAACGTAGCTTGTTTATATTTATGCGATACTAGCCATCGGTTCCCGTTACACGTGAATTATACGCCTATATATTAATTTAATGTTATACTTATTTGGTATCTAAATCTATAATAGGCCACGTTCGCACTTCTCTCTCTCTCTCTCTCTCTCTCTCTCTGTCTGTCCGCAAAATATTTTCGCCGGACATCACATCAGAATCTACAGCGATATATCGAGAACTTTTTACGGACTTTTGTTGAAAATAATATGTTAGATGTTTTAAATGTATAACCACAATATTATTTAAAGAAGAAAAATATAAAATAAAGGCGTATTTGAATATAGAGAAACGGTATTATTTATGCAACCGGAAAAGTGTATAAACTTGGGACAAGAACGCATTTAACAATGACGTCACTTATTGTTTACACTAAAACACTAAAACAAGAGCACGAAACTGATGACGTCATCTTCCAAGTTTAGAATTTTAAAAAATGAACTATTTCATTCAAATATGATTTAGAGCTATGTACGCTATGAAATGTAGACTACACAAGACGATATTCTCAGCCTAAACTTAAAAAAATATTTTATCTATTTGGATTCTAGATCTAGAGATTCTAGATCTAGACTAGATCTAAATCTTCGCAAAAACTACACTTAGACGCTACGTCGCTAAGATCTATTCTAGATCTAGATTTAGACTATCTACTGTAGAATCTATTTCAAAAATAAATTTCTATAATAAACTTTTTCATGACTTAAGTATTTTATAGAAATCTGTGTTTGTTTAGCAACTAAACTGGCTAATTTTGGGTAAAAAAATAATTTGAAAAAAAATAGACATGTTCGTGTAAGTTATTTTTTAAACACTTCTTTTATTCTCCATATTTTAAAAGGTACCTAATTAGCTGAGATGGTAGTGTACTTGATACCAGACCAAGTCAAACCTAATTTTTTTTATATGTGAATCTTCCTATTTTAGACTATAAAGAAAGGAACTACTTTGGAAATCTTTGTTTATCTATGCAATTTGCTAATCTCTATAATATATGAAGCAAAGTTGTTGGGTGCCCGACATCGGGCACTTCCCGGCGCCGCAGGCGCTTCAAATTTGGCAGGATTTTGCCTTGGGGCGACAGAACACGGGGGCCGGTGCCGGTTGGCCTAAAGGTCTACGACGAGGGGGTCAAAACAGACCTCGACTGACCGGCGCCTTATATGAGCTATAAATCGAAAAAAATTTGTCCACGTAGGAACCTCTTCATAACTCCTGAGGTCGTAGACCGACCCTCGGGCGAATTAGTTAAGCATTCAAATTCTCAATGCTTTTGAAAGCCTAAGCGAAGCTGGGCAGCATGCCTAGTAAATAATACGAGCCGACCCGCGGCATATCATACGCCGCTATTTAGTTGTTGTTTTTTCTACTTTTCAGTTATTCATAATTTGTGAATTCGACACTACCAACGCTGCCACTGAAAATATTTCTTTAAAACACTCTAAGTAGCTCGTTAAGGACGATAACCCCCCCCCCCCTCCTCCCCCCCCCTCCTCCGTTAAAGTAAACTCCACTTAGTTCCCCCCCCCCCCCTACGTTTAAAATCGTTTCAAACTAAATTATCTGCCCCTAATAGTCGTCACTAAACCCGGCTCTGTTTGTAAACATTTAGAGTGAACCACAGCTCACCAGACCATGTAGGGGTGGGGGTGGTAGGGAGCGCGCTTACAGCTTGTTTTCTAGCGTCTCCCAGAAGAGAATTGTATATATATAGAAGATATAAAATAGTTTTAAGTCAAAACGCGATGTGCTTTTCTAGTGACAAAGCAAAAGATATAACTAAATAGCTAAAAATCCGACACATTTAAAATAACAGGCTACCAATATCTATTAGAGAAATAAAACAAAATTATATACATTATTAGTCAGCACCATAATAATATGAAATGCGCACACTGATTAAGAGACTTAAATGATTCTGCTAAAAACCCGGCTGTTCAATGGTCATTATGTGGATTTTTTAAAAGTAATTTGTATTAGTTTGACCGAGAAAATTGTATACATTTCATAGCGTACGTCATGATACGTAGATTTATAGAATCTAGATCTAAATCAAAATTTTTAAAAATTGTTCATTCCTTTATATTCTAAAGATGACGCCATTTATGTTGCGTTCTTTCCGTAGTTTAAACATGTGGCATGTGACGTCATTGTTTATTGCGGTCTTGTTAAAACCATAGCCACTTTTCTACATTCGCATATTGCTTGATTATTATTTTATTTCGATAAATAAAATTTAGTTGATACATTTAAAACATTCAACATATTATTTTCAACAAAAGTCCACATCTTTAAGTCCTCCATATATCGTTGAAGTCAATGATCTCTTAGGCTTGGGACAGAGAGAGAGAGAGAGGGGGGGGGGGGGAGAAGTGCGCACATGGGCTTTGATACTTTTGAGTTCAGTTTATAATTGACTAGATATGAAAGTAATGTTAATTATATGTTTAAGATTACTTACAGATGTTCTCGATTTAAAAAAAAAATGAAGCGAGCAATCATAAGCGGTTTCTTGTTTTTTATATTTCCTGTATGATGTTTAGCATCGGACGTTATGCGTAGGTTTGTTGAAAAATTACAGCGAAGCGTTGAGAAAGTAAAATCATTCTAATATATTGTATACATGATCGATTACGTATAATTGTGCGCGTATGATCTTTGTTGTATTACAGGTGATGTATTCAGAATGTGATATGTTTGGAATTTATTTTTACACGATTTTTTTTTTCAAATCGTACGTGTATGTTATTTATTTGATTACAGAAGATGCATTAAATCATTAAACATTAAACTGATTGTAACATTTTCATCTACCAGTGGCAATGACGACCTGGCGCCTAATACAGTTATGGAGTCGGCTAACCATCTGCCTCCTGCTCCTGTCCCTTAGCAGCTCCCAGAGCTGTTTTCCCATGGAGGATATTTTTCTCCGGTACCGTACCTGGGACCAGCAGATGTCGCTGACGTCACGGCGGGTGTACAGGGTAGGGGTGGAGGGGGATGACATCATGGAGGTGGAGGAGTACAGCCGTAACCATAGGACCACGAAGGTAGGTTGGCGGTGTGGTGTGTGGTGGTGCCTGGTTATGTGTGGAGGTGTGTGGTGGCGTGGTGGTATGTGGTATGTAGTGTGGTGGTGTGTGGTGGTGTGTGGTGGTGTGGTAGTGTGTGGTGGTGTGGTGGTGTGTAGTGGGGTGGTGTGTGATATGATGGTGTGTGATATAATGGTGTGTGGTGGTGTGTGGTGTGTGGTGGTGTGTAGTGGTGTGGTGGTGTGTAGTGGGGTGGTGTGTTATATGATGGTGTGTGACATAATGGTGTGTGGTTGTGTGTATTGTGTGATATGATGGTGTGTGATATAATGGTGTGTGGTGGTGTGTGGTGTGGTGGTGTGGTGATGTTTGATATGCTGGTGTGTGGTATGATGGTGTGATAGTTTGTTAGTGTGTGACGGTCCGTGGTGTGTGGTGTGGTGGCTTGTATGGTGTGGTGGTGTGTGGTGCTGATGGTGTGTAGTGGGGTGGTGTGTGATATGATGGTGTGTGGTGGTGTGTGGTGTGTGGTGGTGTGTGGTGTGGTGGTGTGTGATATGATGGTTTGTGATATAATGGTGTGTGGTGGTGTGTGATATGATGGTGTGGGGTGGTGTTGATATGATGGTGTGTGATATGTTGGTATGTGGTGGTATGTAGTGGTGTGTGGTGTGTGCTGGTGTGGTGTGTGTGGTGGTGTGTGGTGTGGTGGTGTGTGGTGTGGTGGTGTTTGATATGCTGGTGTGGTGGCGTGTGGTGTGTGGTGCGGTGTCTGTAATGGTGTGTGGTGTGGTGGTGTGTTCTAGTGTATGTTGTGTGCGTTGCATTGCTGTCACGACCTTGAAACTGTGACTGTCTGATGAGTTAGATTTTTAACTGACATTTTCAACCAAAATGTCGCCGAATCCTCGCTAGAAAGGCAGCTCGAGGAAAGTGGTTTCGCGACCAGCATAGAGAAAGATGTTAGAAGATCGCTATCGACAAACTCAGACTCGGTGATAAAAACTAACAATAGCATCTCTATCGGTCCTGTCAACATATACATACAAACCTTCTACATTCCCTGTAAACATACAAACATGTTGTTCTATAACCCTTTTGACTTTCGATAATCATACATCCATCCCTCTATAATACTTGCACACACGGCCCCTCTATATATATTTTTATAGATGTCGTTGGACTGTATATCGTGCCCACTACTCTATTACTGAGATGAAATCCACAGATGAGGGCCAAGGACATCATGAGAGACGACTATCTATGTTTTATGTATTGAGCGAGTTTTCAATATACTATAATATAATATATCTCCTACACAAAATATACCAACATCCATCCCCTCATATAACATATCCCCTATACTAAATATACCACCATCTCTCCTCTCATATGACACTACATATACCACCATCTCTCCCCTCATATGACACTACATATACCACCATCTCTCCCCTCATATGACACTACATATACCACCAACTCTCCTCTCATATGACACTACATATACCACCATCTCTCCCCTCATATGACACTACATATACCACCATCTCTCCCCTTATATGACACTACATATACCACCATCTCTACCCTCATATGACACTACATATACCACCATCTCTCCCCACATTTGACACTACATATACCACCATCTCTCCCCTCATATGACACTACATATACCACCATCTCTCCCCTCATATGACACTACATATACCACCATCTCTCCCCTCATCTGACACTACATATACCACCAACTCTCCCCTCATCTGACACTACATATACCACCTTCTCTCTCCTCATATAACACTACATATACCACCATCTCTCCCCTCATCTGACACTAAATATACCACCATCTCTCCCCTCATATAACACTACATATACCACCATCTCTCCCCTCATTTGACACTACATATACCACCATCTCTCCCCTCATATGACACTACATATACCACCATCTCTTCCATCATATAACATATCCCCTACACTACATATACCACCATCTCTCCCCTCATATGACACTACATATACCACCATCCCTCCCCTCATATGACACTACATATACCACCATCTCTCCCCTCATATGACACTACATATACCACCATCTCTCCCCTCATATGACACTACATATACCACCATCTCTCCCCTCATATGACACTAAATATACCACCATCTCTCCCCTCATATGACACTACATATACCACCATCTCTCCCCTCATTTGACACTACATATACCACCATCTCTCCCCTCATATGACACTACATATACCACTTACTCTCCCCTCATATGACACTACATATACCACCATCTCACCCCTCATCTGACACTACATATACCACCATCTCTCCCCTACAGTACCGCATCATCTGCGACATTGCCTACGGCGGCAACAGATACCTGGTGAAGCGCGAGACAGCCTACGGTGCCAGTTTCCAGTGCATCCACCTGGAACAGCTGTCTCAGTTTATCCTGAGGATCAGCCGCTCGGACACCGGAAATTTGCCGAAACGGGTAAATTGTCTTGCTAAAACAGGAAAATCTTCCTCCCCTCCCCCCTCTCAGTAAATAGAACATCTATCATTTGCATAATTCTAACGCTAATTATATCTGGTCAACAAAAATATTATTAAAAATTGCTATCACCAATGTTTTTTCTGACTATGATGACAAACTACCTGTTTAAACGTGTGATGTTATCACCGATGTTATACCTGACTATGATGTTATCACCGACGTATACCTGACTATGATGTTAAACTACCTGTTTAAACGTGTGCTGTTATCACCAATGTTTTATCTGACTATGATGTTAAACTACCTGTTTAAACGTGTGATGTTATCACCGATGTTATACCTGACTATGATGTTAAACTACCTGTTTAAACGTGTGATGTTATCACGAATGTCTCACCTGACTATGATGTCAAACTACCTGATTATAAACTTTGTCCCATGCCCTCCACAGATCAACTGTCTAGAAGACACCTACATGGCGGACCCGGTAGTGCTGATAGCTGTGAGAAAATACTTCACGGACTCCTGCCCGCTCATCGGTGGATTTCAGCTGTACCTGGACGTCGGTTCCGACTCCTCCTGCAAGAGGTCAATGACCTCGTACAGTCCAAGCATCCAGTTTAAGTGCGACTACACGGACTCTGGCAGCGTGGTTCTGGACTTTGGACCCGACTGTCTGCCCCGAGCACTCGCAGCCAGTTCGGTTTTTCCGCGGGAACAATACCTGTTTAGGATGGCATGCGTGGGTGGGTGGGAAAAAAACGAGATCACTTCTTTGATCTTAAAGATGCAAGGCGTGGATAACATGTTTTGGTGTCTTGTGTACCGACCTTTTTCAACTGCGGAAAATTTTCACCTGACTCTGGACGGTAGCTGTTTGCGGAGACAAATTGGGCCAGGTGATACTAACGTGTTGTCTGGCATCTTAGTGCCCTACCTTCAAGCAAATCACTTGCAGTGTACAACAAGCAGTGGCAGCAAGTGTAAGAACGGCAAGGACGTCTGCAGTAATCCTTCATCGTGCCCTAAACAATGCGGTCGCTGTCAGAAATATGTCGATGCCAACAGATTCTGCCAGTTCTCGCACAACCTTACTGGCACCTGGTCAACGCTGTCTCCGGATATTAAAATAACAATAAACGGAAGCGGCGTCTCAGGGACGTACGGCCAGTTCAGCTGCTTCAAAGAGAGCCTCAAGTTTTCGTACACTCTAGTACAAACAGGCGGCGACGACGCAGTTTGTCAGCCCACCTACGCATGCGCGCACATCGAGAATTTCGCCACGGATATGCTGGTGTTTCGTATACGACCATCGATGCGTAACGGCTCCGGGGAACTGATACCGTGCGAGAAGAACACGGGAGCTCTGTTTTACGGTAAACCCAGGGCTAAAGACGAGCCAAAACTGCTCATCTCCAGTAGCGAGTTAAAGGTGAGCAGTTGCAACATCTCCTCCCCTGCGGTGTACCCCACCACGTACAAAAACTGCAAGCTGCTGGTCAGAAAATGCTCCGGCGACTGCCAGACCTTGACGGTCGCCTACGACAGGGAGACCTGCAGTAACAAGACCTACAGGGACGAGCAAATCGCCGCCAACCACACGTGTTACGGCACCGTCAAGTTCAAAGGTCAGACGCGGGGAATCATCGCCAAGTCCTGGCACACCGACGACTTCCACTGTTGGCTGTTCACCAGCAGCTACCTCTACATCCTGGCCGTGGAGGATTGTAACCCCATCTCCGCGGAGCGCATCGTTAGTGACAGCAACTCTCTCCGAGAACACGACCCTCTCAAGACTCTAACCATCCAAGCAGAAGACCAGGAAAACTCAGCTCATGGTAGTTTAACACACTCAATTCTAACAGACTTTCTGCTTCTGATGTTGTATTTCATTTTTATAACACACTGATCTCTCTTTGTATGTGCTTATTTATATTTTTATAAAATGATTTTAAAATTCCAGCGTATTTTATGATTTGATCTGTGATCATTATTAATTTCTGATTGGTTGAGATTTGACAAATTGTGCTGGCACACTCGACCATTAGACCCGTGGGTAGACGAGCCTCAAGAACTGTGAGATTTGTTTGAAAGGAAGACGATTGGTAGCTGGGGTAACTAATAGAACAGCCAATCGCTGGGGTAACTAATAGAACAGCCAATCGCTGGGGTAACTAATAGAACAGCCAATCGCATCTGCAAATAATAATGAGAGCCGGGGAAGAGGATGCACGTTGTAGCATATATAGGCTACACATTCATTCAAACTTTAACACACACATACACCCGCACACACACACACACACAATATATATATATATATATATATATATATATATATATATATATATATATATATATATATACTCGTCAATATACAATATATTATTTTTGAATTAAAACAAAGATCCTTTACAAACATATTCTTTATTTATGAATTACTGTAACTTCTTAAAATAACTACTAGATTTCATTGTCATTGTTAGGTATTAACTAACTTACACAAAATTGTTCTGATTTATTTATGTTTTAAGAACTTTTGTCCAATAGAGTCCAATATCTGTACGGGTGTATGCATGAGTTTCTATCTACGTTAAATATACCTATGCTAGGCTATCGTATGTATTCAAACTTTGCACATAGTTAACACCCATTGACTGCACAAAGTTTCAAACTATACTGTAGCACTAAGGGAGGGAATTATCTAATTTTTTGCAGAAATTTTATCTGGGAAGAGTTGTAGTTTCTTGCTAGTTTGTTTTAAGTTTGAAACAATATACTTTGTTCACAAGGGGAAGTGGTTATACATTTTTACATTTTTTACTGTTTCTTTAATCTTCATTATTTTTAAGGTGGCCTACTGCACATTGAAAACTAAGCTACGCTTAGATAAATAAATGGAATAATTGACATAATTTCTGATTGTTCATGTCACTAATTGAGTCGGCTCTACGGATGAAAATCTATGACAAAAATATATTTTTGCTCTAGAAGCATTTTTATATATCTTAGTACATTACTTTAGCGTGTATGAAAAACACAGTTTTGATGTCATAATTAGGATGAGTGGTATGGAGGCGGATTGTAAGTTATGTGAAAAAATATTTTGACAATTTTAATTTTCGCAAAATCTGTTTTTTAAAGAACGTAAAGCGTATTTGGGCTATTTGTACGTATGGCTGGCATATGGGGATTTGTGTTGATGTCATTATTTTACTGTTTTACTCATCTTTGTACGAGTTTTGCGTGTTATTAAAGTGATTGGACTTTGATTGTTTGTTTTTCTAACATATTTCTTTGTAAAAAAAAAAAAGTTCAGTTCCCTTTTCGAATCCAACTAGCTATGGGGCAAGTCAAGTAGAGTTCACCTGTTACTAATCATGTATTAGGGTTTGACATGGTCGGACCTAAGAGCGTATGATGTAACTTCAAAAGCCCTGAGTTCACATCACAGGTTAGCTGGGGGCATCAAACGCTGTAGGAGAGACAACTCTAAAATTAAACAACTGCTGATTGTTCTTGGATGGACACAGGCAATGGAAGAAAACCCAGAAAGAAAAGCAGGTTGAAATCAGAGCCGTTTGTCGCATGAAAAGTTGACTCGTCGTATTCAAATATGCTGGAGGAATTCCCCTTCAACAAAATAATTAAGAACGATATAGATAAAAGACGAAGCATTAAATTAGCGAATGCCGAATCATGTGATCAACATCGATGGTATGCAACATGCTATCACATCAAGTCTGATGTTTTTGTTGACAGAAAAATCTAGTTTGAGATTTGGCTCAACATGAGTGAGGTCTATCCCGGATAGTTTGAGATTTGGCTCAACATGAGTGAGGTCTATCCCGGATAGTTTGAGATTTGGCTCAACATGAGTGAGGTCTATCCCGGATAGATTGTTAATACGTGACCACTCGACAAGCCAGCCCCTTTTTGTCGTAGAACTCTCCAGCGTGTAGAACCCATTTCATCACCATTTCATCATCTTAAATCTTCTAGAGCAGGGGTCTCCAAACTACGGCCCGCGATGTCCTCTCATCCGGCCCGCGGAGATCCTTTTGTCCACGGAAAAACCGTTTGTTGGTGATGGCGGAGAAACTTGCCCAGAAAAATCAAAGACATTCCTGGAAGAAGTTGGCCATCGAACTGAAATTTGATAGTTAATGCGGCCCTCGGACTGAAAATTTTGGAGACCCCTGTTCTAGAGGGTGGGGGATGGGACGATGGCTTGGGGAAGGGGAAACGTGTGTGGGGTAGTTCTCCAGCTACTGAAAATGTGAAAATAAGGGATCTTACAGAAGTAGCACATTCATTCAGTTAAAAAATATTGTTTTTCTTTCCCCCCCTCCTCCCATACCTTTTAAAAAAAAATTGAAATAATCTCCCCTTCTACAAGTCAGTATAAAATAAAAGGAAAATTGCCTCCCCCAGCTGTTTAAAAATTAATTAAAACAGCCTCCCACGAAAGCTGCTTCTTAAAACTGTACACAATTTGGATTGCATCACGTATAGATCTTACGCTTAATTACTAGTCTAATTAACCTACAAACCACAATTTTTTCTGATCAATGAAGCAACGTGTTCCTTGAGTCAGATGGGACACAACTCTGCTAAGATGAAACACGCACAGTTACTCGCTCGGTTACTTTTTACATGTGGGCTTGTAGTTATACATGGCCAAGCTACGGAAACAGCATTCCCAGATGAGCTGGAAGCGGAATACGACTATATAGTTGGTACGTTTCTATTGCACTCGTTGCTATACTAGTTTTATACTAGGTAGATAAATAAGTAAAATGTATGCAGATAGATCAGTTAAAAAAAAAGAAAAGGTAGATAAATCAGTAAAGTAAAAGTAAAAGTAAATATGTAAATTAGTAGGTAAAAGTAGGTAAATCAGTAAGAAACTGGATAAATCAGTAAAGTAAACGTAGAGTTAGACACATAAATCAATAAATAAAAGTAGATCAGTTAAGTGAAAGTTGTACTTTACTGATTTGTGTACTTTTACATTACTGATTTATCTAAATTTATTTTATTGATTTATCTTCTTTTAATTTACTGATTTATCTATTTTTACTCAACTAATTTATCTAATTTAAATTTACTGATTTATCTACTTTTCCTTTAATGATTTACCTACTTTTACTTAACTGATTTATCTACTTTTACTTTACTGTTTTATCTACTTTTCCTTTTACTTTACACCTTCCCCAGTGGGTGCCGGGTCAGCAGGATGTGTTGTGGCAGGTCGTCTGTCAGAAGACAGGGGCGTCACCGTGTTGTTGGTAGAAGCTGGTGGGGACGACAGGGGGAACCCTTTTATCACCGTGCCAGCCTTCGCGTCCCTCAACTTTCGAACAGACAACGACTGGCAGTATTTCACGGAGCCACAGCCGGGTGTAATGAAAGGTTTTGTTAACGGTGTAAGTATGTAATGATGTAAGTACGATAATGGCGTAAATACGATAATGGTGTGAGTACTATAATGGTGTAAGTACGATATTGATGTAAGTACGATAGTGGTGTGAGTACTATAATGGTGTAAGTAAGATAATGGTGTCAGTACGATAATGGCATGAGTACAATGATAGTGTAGGTAAAGTAATGGCTTTTACTTAAAAGATGTACAATTTTTTCTATGTCTGATAATATGACTATTCATCATAAAGTGAAATCTCAACAGCGTTCGTACTGGCCTCGTGGTAAAGTTCTAGGCGGTACTGGCAGCATCAATGGCATGCAGATAACTCGAGGCTCCAGACACGACTTTGACAGGTGGGCCAGGTACGTCAGAGATAACAGCTGGGACTACAACCATGTCTTACCTTACTTCAAGAAGATGGAGGACATGCTGGTGCCGGAACTCAGGAACTCAGGTTATTCCGTTTGTCCAAATATTTATCACTAAAATATATTGATTTGGAAAGTAATTATGGCCTAAAGAGAATCTTTGAAGCAATGGTTTGAAAAAATAATTTGCTATTATATTCTGATCGGCGTTGTCAGTATTATAGTTTTAGAAGCATTTGCGGTACAATGAAATAATGGTAAGTTGTAGAGATTATATTAAAAAATGCCTCTTCCGATGAACGATGAATAGCTAATAGTCAAGTAGCAAGAGTGAAAATGGTTATTAACATTATGTTTATCATATACATATACATACATACATATATATATATATATATATATATATATATATATATATATATATATATATATATATATATATATATATATATATATATATATATACTAGCTGCATCCCGTGCTCCGCCACGGTAAATCTTTTTTAAATGTACCAACTTGGGAACAGAACAAAACTAAACACAACACAAACGAACGCAAAAAAAAAAAAAAAAAAAAACAAAAAAACGAAAAAAACAAACACAACACTCATAACATAAACACAATTTAAATGCAATCATAAAGGCATATTGCTCACAGTCTAGCCCGTAGCGCCAAATCGCGCCCTTTCCGGTGATTTGCACCCCCCTCAAACTTTCGATTTGCACCCCTGTCCCCCCCCCCCCCCGCCCTAAAACTTTCGATTTCCACCCCCCCCCCTCGCAAATTTTTTCCAACCCAATTTGGCGCCCCCTAAGGTCGGCACCCGGGGACATATGCCCTCCCCTCGCTACGCCTCTCCTATAAAACCCCTAGCTTGTCCTCAAACCGAAAGATAGAATAATAATTAGTAAACAGTATAAATAATAGGCAGTATTTAAAATATCCGTGTTTTACCTACAATATTTCACTTTATCCATTCACGCATTTTTTTCCAGTACTTTAAATTTTAAAAATTTACAATAGAGTTTCATAACTAAAACTATTGCGCACCTAATGAACGTGATGACGCGTCTATAATAGTGCTGAATAGTTGATTAAAAATTATAAGTAATAAACAGAAGGGCCTACATTCAGTGAATAAAATAAATAAAAGATTGCCTTTTATCAATCCATGCTAATTATAATTTTCTAACAATAATTTCCTCTTACACATCCACATAATTTGCATTCACATTTTGCTAATTATATTATTGCAACACTATTTCCTTCTATGACGAACGTATATTTGCTTTCACATTTTTTATTAGCGTGAGTTTAATGTATTTTTAAATTACCTCCTTTGTCAAAATTAGAAAAGAGTTAAATTCATTTGATTTTTCTAACCTACAGTTATTATGTTATTAAAATGTATCCACTTTTTCTAGGAATATTAACGAAAACTATATTTGACATTGATCCTTTTAATATGTTTTAGCAATGTGCGTGTATTTAATATTTTCTTTACGTTATGCAAAATTGTACAAACAGTGGAAATTATAAAATAGCTCTATGCCGCTATATAAACAAACCCTACTCTAATACTTATAATAAGACACTGCGGTGCACTGAAAAGCACAGCATGGTGCGTAGTTTACTTTTATAGTCCCAAAATCTATAGCGATGACGGACGGAAGGAAGGAAGGAAGGACAGACACAGCCCGCTTATATTATAGATATATATATATATATTCAAAATCTTTTGGAAAACGTAACATTGCGCAGTTATGCCATTCAACGGCTGTGATTTAACACGAGATATGTTTTAGTGATTCCATAACCGCAGTGCGCACTTAACTTCTGTCAAATGTAACACCTGACATGATCACGCCACAGACTATCACGGAAAAGGTGGGCCCGTCCCTGTCAGCATCACGGAACCTCTGCCCATCGTTGACCGGCTGCTTGAAGCTGGGAGAGACACCGGCTACACTGTGAACCCAGACTACAACGGTGCCACACAAGAAGGTATCTGCTCAATCACTTTCTTACGTACCACCATTAGCTATAGAGCTACGGTGACCGGAAAGATGCGCAGCGGAAAAAGGCGTAGAGGAAAAATGCGCACTAAAAATTGCGCAAGGGCATTATTTTTTTTTAATCGAGCATATACAGACATTAAAACAGAGAGTGACTACAATTTCATTGTAGCATAATAAAACTTATTTCCACGAAATATGACAAAATTAAACTGTAATAGTATAATTAGTTTATATTAGCGCAATTTTTCTATTTGCCCAATTTTCCGTTGCGTAGTTTCCAGAGTGCGCATTTGTCTGGGTACCTAGAACTTCATATGTCCAATCACAGATTTGTATAAAATTCGACCCCTCGTAAAACCAAGTTTTAAAATAACAATTACAGTCTTTGTTTTTGTTTTTATTGCAACACATTAGTTGATCAGTAATCCAAAACAATAAAAATCGATGAGCTACCACAAGGAAATATCAATTTTCTTTCACAGGAATATCTAGGCCTCAGGTCAACGTCAAATTCGGCCAGAGATGGTCAACGTCCAGGGCTTACATCCACCCAGCGTTAAACAGGACAAACCTTCACGTCTCGCTCAACTCTACTGTCACCAAAGTACGTGATAAGTCTGTCTACAGTAACAGATGTCTGTCTGATATAGGACATTGTCAGAGCATCATTTGTCATAAAACATTCTAACAAACGCCAGCAGTTGTTTTAGATTGGGTTAACGTTTGACTGTGTTATAGGTACAAATTGACGGGGACAGAACTACAGGTATTGTTTTCATCAGAAACGGGAAAGAGACGGAAGTCAAAGCCAGACATGAAGTCATCCTGTCAGCAGGAACGGTTGGCTCTCCACAGATTCTAATGCTGTCTGGTGTTGGTCCTAAGGAACATCTGGAAGCCTTGAAAGTTATTATATATATATATATATATATATATATATATATATATATATATATATATATATATATATATATATATATATATATATATATATATATAACATGAAAAGAAAAACCATACATTTAAATATAATTACAAAGTTTAATTTTCTGGAGATGTTATTAACCAACTAATTAGAATGTTCTAGGAGTTGATCTGTTGCCATCTATGTTTACGACGTCTGTGTGCAGTGTTCTACATGTGTCCACCTCATGTCTCCAGATACAAGTCAAGCGAGATCTCCCTGTCGGGTACAATCTACAGGACCACTTGTTCTTTGAAGTTGGTATCAAGATCAATCAGTCCTTGACACTGAACCGCCATTACAGGACAGACCCAGCGAACATCATCAAGTATGTTATCAATGGCACTGGTAAGTGGCTGCTTGGATATAGAATCTTCAATTTTTAAGACAAATGGTTGCTACATGTGTATTAAGTCGTCTTCTGTAAATTGTACGGTAAAGCAGTTTTTAAGGTCATATTGTTTATTTGTTGAATGTGCACTGAATCTTCTTTTCTACATTGTACCCATGCAGTTTTTTTTAGATCACCTTGTAAGTTGCTGTACGTGTACAGAATCGTTATAATCTTTGTACATTGTACACAAAGCAGTTTTTAAATCACTTTGTAAGTTGTTGTAAGTGTACAGAATCTTTATGTAGATTGTACACAAAGCAGCTTTTAGGTCACATAGTAATGTGTTGTATGTCGTTTGTACATTGTACACATGCAGTTTTTAGATCATTTTGTGAGCTTTTACATGTGTACAGAATCGTACCTTGTACAAAGCCATTTTTTAGACCATTTGTAAGTTGTGGCATGTGTACAGCATCCTCTTAGGCATACATCATGCACAGTTTTTAGGCCATGTAGAACAGAGACTTAGTTCGAATGATCTTACAGAAGACATTGCTCACGGGTAGAGTTAAACACTGTACAACGTATTCTAACAGGTCCTCTCGCCTCGCCTCCGTACCAGGCTCTCGCGTTCAAATCATTGTCCAATAACTCAAGTTTCCCGCCGGAACTACAGCTCGAGTTCCCTGTCCTTCTTCCAGGAACATCAGACGGCACCCTGGGCTACACACCGGAAGTGAGTCACCAACATTAGCTCAGATTTTTCCAACCCTGATTCTAATCACGTGACTACGTACGTTTGTTTTTAATATCCTGACAGATACTAGCTGAGATGAAGAAGAGAGACTCAGCACAGTACGGACTGATGTGTAACCCAACTTTGATACGGCCAAAAAGTAGAGGCAGGATAACACTTCGCTCGGACGATCCTTTCGATAAGCCGATAATTTATGCTAATTATCTCAGTGACAAGGACGATATCGATGTTTTGATTCAAGGTAAGCGAAACTGAAATTAGGACAAGGTGTGTGTTGTGTTGTTTGCAGTGTTTCTTCAGACTTGTTTCTCCAGAGGAGGGGGGGGGGGCACCTGAACTTTTCAGAGGGGTGCGGGGAGCAGACTGGTAAAAGTATATATTTTGTATATAAATTCTAAAATTCTATTTCGTTCGACAAGGGGGGGGGGGGGGTAGACATTCTTCGAAGAGATGCCTGATTGTTTGATGTGAGGTTCGAGCAAAAACATTATAGTCGGATTTCTATCTGACGTTGACCTTCCGAAATCCTCCCCTCAGGTATCAGAGAGTGTGAAAAGATTGTCAATACCAGCACCATGCAGGCTATTGGGGCTGAATTAACTGACGACACGCCCGTGTCCCAGTGTTCCCGGTTCACGTTCAGATCTCGCGAGTACATGGAGTGTCTGGTCAAGCTGAGGCCATGTAGTGACTATCACCCCGTGGGGACCTGCAAGATGGGACCTAGAGATGACCCTACGGCCGTGGTGGACTCTCAGTTGAGGTAATTCAATTGAATCTCATTTTTCTATCATTCTGTGTCCGAATTGGCTAACTTGTGTTAAGAATATATATATATATATATATATATATATATATATATATATATATATATATATATATATATATATATATATATATATAATTTATATTTATTTATTTCTAATCCTAGAGTACACGGAGTACGTGGTCTGCGCGTAGTGGACGCCTCTATAATGCCAGACATTGTCTCCGGGAATCTACAGGCCTCTGTTATCATGATTGCTGAGAAGGTTGTCGACCTAATTATCAAGACCCTAAACTAAAACACTGAAGATATGCATTAAAATATTTGGCTTTTAACTTGGTGTATCCTGTTATTTTACATAAACGTATAACTCACACATAGGCATAAAAATGCATTAATTTAAAGTGATTTAATATTTAAAAGTTTTAGCAATCTTTACCAAAGAGTTTTCGCAGATTGTTGTTTATCATTAAAATTTTTAGACAAAAAAAAGTTGAGCGGGCGTGTGTACGCGTGTATTTCCTAAATTGAGTGAACCAGTGTGCGAACGTGCTTGTGCGTATTTGTGTGTGCATGTATTTTTCGCAAATGCAAAAGCATCATTTTGTGGATGTACGCGTAAAAAGAAATTCGCACAAGCACGCTCGAAAAACTCGCACTCATTTTCGGAAATGCACGCACACACACATCCGCACACAAACTATCTGCGTAAATACACAACCACACAAAAACGCACAAGCACGTCTTCTTACACGCGCTCCAATTTCCGGAAATGCACGCATAAATAAACACGCAGTAGGTCGGAACGATGTCCGGAATTACAAGCACACGAAAAACAGGCACAATCACTCACGCGTATAGACGAAAAAAAGTGCGGGAAAACGCGAAAAATACTCACCATCACGGCCGCAAAACTTTTTAACAATAAAAGTAAATACACGCAAGCGAAAAACAGGCACCATCACGTCAGCAAACAGGAATAAAAGCACGATTTAAAAAAAATAACCAGCACAAACGCACAAGTCGGAAGGGTGTCCCGAAATACAATAAAATCTATATACATATAATTCTCTTCTTGGAGACCATAGAAAACACCAAGCTGTAAGCGCGCTCCCTACCACCCCCCCATTACATGTTCTGGTGAGCTGAGGAGGGAGGGTGTTATCGTCCTTAACGAGCTACTGATAATGTTTTGAAGAAAATATTTTCAGTGGCAGCAGTGGTACTGTAGATTTCACAAATTATGAATTACTGAAAAGTAGAAAATAAGACAACTAAATAACGGCGTGTTATACACCGCGGGTCGGCTCGTACAATATAAAACACTCACAAGCGCGCATGCACACACTGGAACATGATTGTATAAAAACCCTAACACATGTTAATACATTATATGAAAGCCGTAACACATAACACATATAACAACACATTATATAACAGTCGTAACATATGATAACATGTTAACACATTATTTAAAAGCCTTAACACATGTTAACACATTATTTGAAAGCCTTAACACATGTTAACACATTATTCAAAAGTCTTAACAGATGTTAACACATTATTTAAAAGCTTTAAAACATGTTAACACATTATTTAAAAGCCTTAACACATGTTAACACATTATTTGAAAGCCTTAACACATGAAACACATTTATTCAAAGTCTTAACACATGTTAACTCATTATTTGAAAGTCTTAACACATGTTAACACATTATTTGAAAGCCTTAACACATGATAACACATATTTTGAAAGCCTAAACACATGTTAACACATTATTAGTAAGCTTTAACACATGTTAACATTATGTGAAAGCCTTAACACATACTAACACATTATTTGAAAGGCTTAACATATCTTAAATCATTATTTGAAAACCTTAACACATGTTAACACATTATGTGAAAGCCTAAACACATGTTAACACATTATTTGAAAGCAGTAACATATGTTAAAACATTATTTGAAAACTTTAACACATGATAACACATTATTTCAAAGCCTTAACACATGTTAACACGTTATTTGAAACCTTAACACATGTTAACACATCAAATGAAAGCCCTAATACATGTTAACACATTATTTAAAAGCCTTAACATTATTTGAAAGCTTAAACACATGTTAACATTATGTGAAAGCCTTAACACATGCTAACACATTATTTGAAAGCCTTAACAATGTTAACACATTATTTGAAAGTTTTACCACATGTTAACACGTTATTTAAAAGCCTTTACACGTGTTGACACATTATTTAAAAGCCTTAACACATGTTAACACAATATTAGAAAGCCTTAACACAAGTTAACACATAATTTGAACGCCTTAACACATGTTAACGCGTTATTTAAATGCCTTAACACATGTTAACACACTATTTGAAAGCCTTAACACATGTTAACACTTTATTTTAAAGTCTTAACACATGATAAAAAAAATATGTAAAAGCCTTAGCACATATTAACAAATTATTTGAAAGACTTAAAACAAGTAAACACATTTTTTGAAAAACTTAACACATGTTAACACATTATTTGAAAATTGTAACACATGTTATCACATTATTTGAAAGTTTTAACACATGTTATCACAATATTTGAAAGCCTTCACACAAGTTAACACATAATTTGAAAGCCTTAACATATGTTAACACTTTATTTGAAAGCCTTAACACATGTTAACACACTATTTGAAAGCCTTAACACATGTTAACACAATATTTGAAAGCCTTCACACAAGTTAACACATAATTTGAAAGCCTTAACATATGTTAACACTTTATTTGAAAGCCTTAACACATGTTAACACACTATTTGAAAGCCTTAACACATGTAAACACTTTATTTTAAAGTCTTAACAAATGCTAACACATTATTTCAAAGCCTTAACACATGATAACAAAATTATATAAAAGCCTTAGCACATATTAACAATTTTTTTGAAAGACTTAACACAAGTAAACACATTTTTGAAAGCCTTAACAAATGTAAACACATTATTGGAAAGCCTAAACACATGTTAACACATTATTTTGTAATGTTAACACATTATTTGTAAGCCTGATTACATGTTAACACATTATTTGAAAGTCTTAACACATGTTAACACACTGTTTTAATGACTTAACACATGTTCACATATAATTTGAAAGCCTTATCACATGTTCACACATTTTATGAAAGCCTTAACTCATGTTAACACATTATTTCAAAGTCTTAAGACATGTTAACACATTATTTCAAAGCCTTATTACATGTTAACACATTATTTCCAAGTCGCTTGACTTCGGTGATCGGACCGGAAAAGTTGTCATCAACATTGTATGGCCGTATATATACAATTACAAAAAAGTAGCATTTTATACTGATGTGTACATGAAACGTTTGATATAAGCAACACACACTAATAAAACCTAATATTCGTTTATTAAAAATAACTCAAGAAAAATACTTCCAACCTTCGCCTTTTTTTTATTTTAAAAAAAAATAAAAATACAATTTAAATAAATATTTAAAAAGATGAAAAAAAAAAGTTCAAAAGTTCAATCTACAGCACGTGGTGTTCCCAAGCAGTCACCCATCTAAGTACTAACCACGCCAGACGTTGCTTGACTTCACGTGTTTCTAAAACCCTCAAAACTAATCTTGGCATCCCTTCTTTTCACAATGGTTTGATCTGTTCTGACACCCCTATTTCTCTCAATAATGTAATAAGCAATAAATTGTTTCCTTTTCCGCAGTTGAAACTCATATTTCAGAAGATTTCTTTAATACTGCATTATTGAACAGTGATGATAAAATTAAACTCCCCTTCCCACCCCCATTCCCTTCCTTGTCGCATCAAAATATACTGTTGACTTTTTTTTTAGCCTGACAACGCGATGTCGTAAATGACATAACAATGTCACAGGTTATGTAACATCAGTTACTTCATTCAAAAATGTTATGTAACCAGGCATAAGCTGGTCTCGACTTTGTGGGTTGTGTTTCTAAAAAACTCATAATTATGTCCTGTCATCCCTTTTTTTCACAATTGTTTGATCTGGTCTGACAACCCTACTTCTTTACTTAATTTTCAGCACGCGCATGTAAAAAAATGTCTTAATATTGGTATCAAACTAATAGACTCTTCCTATAAGAGGTGTGTTATTATGAAGGAATCATAGTATTATTACCTACAGTAATTTGGACAAGGATTTGGGTTAGGGCTATGGTATAACTTGGATTTGTGTTTGATTAATAATATATAATGGTTGGCTTCCAATTACCGATGGATGTTTAATAAACAATCTAATAGTTTAGTTCTACAACTTTCCGTAGCCTAACACCCCTTTTCAGAAGATTCCAAATTCTTTAATAATTGTGCCAATCACAACACAATCAACCCACCCCCCTCCTCCCTTCTATCTCGTTCATGAAAAGTGTTCACAATTTTTAAAAGTCCAACAGCTAAACATCGGAGTCATGGATGACGTAACAAGATCACAGGTTACGTAAAATCAGTTATGTCTTTATAAAGTGTTATGTAACGGTGTAGTCGGTTTCGAATTTGTGAGCTGTTTTTCTAAAACACTCAAGAATGAAGTCCTGTCATCCCTTTTTTCACAATGGTTTGCTCGGTTTTGTCACCCCTACTTTTTATTAATCGATTGTTAGTTACGCGCACTTTAAAAAAAATCTCTTAATATTTGTATCAAACTAATAGACTCTTCCTATAAAGGGTGTGTTATAATAAAAATAATCTCGGATTATCACCTACAGTAATTTGGGCAATGATTAGGGTTTGGGCTTTGTTATAACTTGGATTTGGGTTTGATTAATAATATGTAATGGTTGGCTTTCAATTTCCGAAGGATGTTTTAATAAACAACCTAATACTTTTGGCCTACTACTTTCCGTAGCCTAACACCCCTTTCCAGAAGATTCCATATTAATCAAACAGGTTTGCCAACAACAGAAATTTCACCCCCCCCCCCCCCACCCTCAATTCTAAATGTTTGAAAAAAATGAAAAAATCTATCTACAGCACGTGGTGTTCCCAAGCAGTCACCCATCTAAGTACTAACCACGCCAGACGTTGCTTGACTTCGGTGATCGGACGAGAACCGGTATCTTCAACATGGTATGGCCGTAGATATACAATAACAAAAAAGTAGTATTTTATAATGATGTCTACATGAACCTTTTGACATAAGCAACACGCACTTAAAAACTAATATTCGTTGATTAAAAATAACTCAAGAAAAATAATTTCAACCTTCGTCTTCTATTTATTTCTGAAAAAAAAGTAAAGAATACATATTTATAAAAAAATAAAAATTAAAAAAAAAA